ATCAGCAGCAGCATCAGCAGACTCAGCATCAACAGCAGCATCATCATCCTCAGCATCAGCAGCATCCGCATCATCATCAGCACCAGCAGCATCGTCATCATCATCATCATCATCGTCATCAGCATCAGCATCATAGTCCTCATCAGCAGCAGCAGCGGCATCATCATCATCATCATCATCATCATCATCATCATCATCATCACAGTCATCAGCAACATCAGCAGCGTTCGCATCGTCATCAGCATCAGCAACAACCACGGCAACAACATCGGCATCATCGGCACTAACATCAACAGCATCCTCATCCGCGTCATCGGCACCGTCACCATTATCATCGTCATCATCGTCCTCAACATGAGCGTCATCGCCATCAACCCCGTCAGCGGCAACATCATCAGCAGCAGCATGTTCATCACCGTCATCGTCATCAGCCTCATCAGCAGCAGCATCATCAGCATCGGCATCGTCATCATCCTCATCAGTCTCATCCGCAGCGTCATCATCATCAGCAGCAGCATCAGCATCAGTAGCGTCAGCACCAGCATCCTCACCAGCATCACCAGCATCCTTAACATAAGTATTAGCAGCATCCTCAGCGGCATCATCATGGCCATCAGAAACAGCATCGGCATCAGCAGCATCATCAGCAGCAGCAGTATAAGCATCATCATCAGCATCTACATCGGCATCAGCATCGTCATCATCAGCATGATCAGCATCATCAGCATCATCAACATCATCATCATCAGCATCCATCATCATCAGCATCATCATCAGCAGCATCATCAGCAGCATCAGCACCACCATCATTATCTTCGTCGTCATCATCGTCAGCTCCATCAGCATCAGCAGCCGCTGCATCAGCATCATCTGCATCACCAGAAGCAGCCGCATCAGCACCAGCATCATCAGCATCATCCCCATCCTCTTGCCCAAGATTTTAAGCCCCGAGAAAAAATAGCAGTCAGGGAAGACTCCAAATAGACCAGACGTCTGAAATGAAGTGGACCCGAGTAGACTGACGTAGACTGAACTTGAGTAGACTGGGCTGGGCTGCAAGGGGGTGGACTCTACTCCACTCTACTCTACTCTAATTACCCTACACTGCACTCCACGATTCTACCCGACTCTACTCGATCATCTACCCTACAGTACTCTACCAGACTTAGCTCTACTCTATCCTAGTATACTCTAGTTAACCATACCTTACCCTAACCTTCTCTTCTCTCCGCTACTCTATTCCGACTCTAGTACTCTACTTTACGCTACTCATGCTCTCCTCTACTCTGTTGCAGGCCCCTCTACTCTAATATACTATCCTCTGTTATGGTCTACTCTAGTCTACTGTTCTACCCGACTCTGGTATACCATCTATTCCGCTCTACTCGACTCGACTATAACCTGCCCTACTCTATACCCTACCATAACCTATTATACCCTACTCTACTCTATTCCTACTCTCTTCTGTTCGACTCTACTCGAATTTGCACTCATCTACAGTACCCGGCATCTGATCTACTCTGCTCGTCGACTATCATATACTCTGCTCTACTCTGAATTACTCTATTTGATTCTATTCTACTCCGCCATACTTCAAAGTTTGACGGTTGGTCGACGACTGTTGGGACGCAAGTGGGATAGCCACATGAAGCCTATACTCCTACCCCACTCTACCCCAACCCTATTCCACTCTGCTCTGCCCGACTCTGCTCGATTCTACTCTGGTCTGATCTGACAGACTCTGATGTAGTACTCTTCTCTACTCCACTCTAATCTGCTCTACTCTACTCTACTTCTGAACTGAACGACGACAGAAGAAGCCGTGCGCAAAAGAGGAAGTCGAGCGCAACAGTGGACGCGTGTAGGGGCAAAGAAGAAAGCCATCCGGATAGCAGAGGAAGCCATGCCCAACATAGGAAGCCATACGCCATAGAGGCCGCGTGCAGAGGCAAAATATATGGGCCGGGGGGGGCTAGTGGACCAATTCTCTAGGGATTCAGCTAAAACTCCTGCCGACAAGCCTATTTGGAGAATTGTCCTGGCGAAGGGCCCAACCAGATGCAGTTATGAAAGTCGCAGGTCTGAGGATCGACTTCGGTGGAGCTTCCTTTAGGGGCACGAGACGCGTGAGCGGTGTGCAAACATCGGCGGAGAGACGCATGCGAACCCTGCATCTGGAGCCTTCAATGGAGCTCCATGTGGGGCCACAAAACGTGTGAGGGGTGTGCCGACATGAGCGGGGAGCCGCATGCGAACCCTGCCAACGCGGCATTCGGTGGAGCGGGGCCACGAAACGTGTGAGTGGTGTGCCGAAATGAATGGGAAGCTGCGTGCGAGCCCTGCCACTGGGGCCTCCAGTGGAACTCCTTATGGGGCCACGAAACATGTGGGGTGGGGGGAGGGGGCGACATTGGCAGGGAACAGCATGCGATCCCTGTCATGAGGGCCTTCGGCACAGCTCCCTGTGTGGCCACGAGACGTGTGAAGGGTGTGCCAAAGTAGGTGGGGAACCGCCTGCGAACAATGTCACTGGGGCCGTTGGTGGAGCTCCCTATGGGGCCACGAGGCATGTGAGGGGTGTGCCGAAACGGGCGGGAAGACGCTTACGAGCCCTGTCACTGGGGCCTTCGATGGAGCTCCCTGCGGGGCCTCGAAACGTGTGATGGGTGTGCCGACATGCGCGGGAAGCCCCATGCGAGGACGACCACTGGGGCCTCAGATGGGGCTCCCTGCGGGGCCACGAAACGTGTCACGGGTATGGCGACATGCGCGGGGAGCCCCATGCGGGGACGGCCACTTGTACCTTCGGTGGAGCTCCCATTGGGGCCACGAAGCGTGGAGGGGTGCGCCAAACTGGGCGAGGAACCGCACGCGAGGACGGCCACTGGAGCCCTAATTTGAGCTCCCGATGGGGCCACCAAACGCGTGATGGGTGTGCCGAAATGGGCGGGGAGCCCCATGCAGGGGCGGGCACAAGGGCCTTAGGTGGAGCTCCCTATGGGGACATGAAGCGTGTGAGGGGTACGCCGACATGGGCAGGAGAGTAGAGAAGTGAGTGAGGAGGACGCGGGGCGCTGTACCTTCGAAACAAAGACCCCACACCACAGGATGGTTGGGGGAAAAACGGGGGGATGACAAACAAAGCACAACAACACACACGTTAAACATACCAGAAGAAGAAGAGGAACAACAAAAACAACGCGGCCTGGCAAAAAAACACGACAGGGGAGAGAGAAAGAAAGATGGAGAGAGCAAGAGGGAGAGAGAAAGAGAGAAACATACACAAGGAAAAAAACATGAATAAACAGTGGTGTGCTGAGTGCGTGCTAGAAACCGTCGGCACAATAAGGACACACTATGCGTGTGTCGTTGGATGTCCGCCATTGCACAGGCCAAGACTAGTGAGTGCCCTTACTGTCAGGCGTTGGAGCTGGCGTTCGCACTCGACAGCAACATCGGATGTGATCGTTGCAGCAAACTGCAGTCGCAAATATGATAGGTTCGACGGGCTATGGAAAGCATCGTGCCCGTGTCCAGATTTTTGTCATCTCGCGCAGGCCAGAACACCGACAATTGTCCGCTTGCTGGGAGACGTCTGCCCACTCGTGCAAGTGTCTCGCCGTCAGAATGTCCAGGCAAGCTCGCTTCGCGCATCGGCGTACGCACGCAAGTTCGCGCAATCGTACGCAAACTAATGAGGCTACATGTATACGGGGGCCCTGAAGACGTTCAAGTTGACCTTTCTTGGAGGGGTAGATTCACTTCCGCCGTATTCCTTCGAGCTTCCACAAGCTTCCGCCAGCCCAAGCCGTCCTCGCTGCTTTCGTCGACTGGCTGTTGCGCACATCCTGGCTTGAGCTGACATTCCGCCACCTCCCGCCGAGGGCCAGAGGTCAACTCCTGGGCCTCTCGGCCCGCACAGACGCTTGTGAATTGCATTCAATGTCGAGTCGGACAGACACAACTAAAACATACGCAATGGCGCGCAAGCACACGCAAACATGCACACTGCACGTCCGCGCACAAGACCCTTCGAGCACGAACGTGCGTCTGCACAAACACGCAGCCCCTGCCTGCCGGAACCAGAGATGGGCCGCTGGCCCGAAGAACATCAGGCCCACCGCTGCGGACGCACCTGAACCCGTTCTCACTCCTCCAGCTCCTCCAGCTCCTCCAGCTCTTGCTCTTCCTTTTCCTCCTCCCCCTCCTGCCCAAGTCTACTTCTCAACGCATCCTCCCCCTGCAGATCCTCACATTCCTCCTCCAGCTCCTACTTTCTGTGTTGTTTCTCATCCTCCTCCTGCTCCGCCCCCTCCTCCTCCTCCTCCTCCTCATCCTCCTCCTACAGGCGATCCTGCCATTGCTTCTCAACCTCTCCCTCTGCCTCCTCCTCCTCCTCCTCCTTCTCCTCCTCCTCCTCCTTCTCCTCCTCCCCCTGCTTCTCCTCCACCTGCTGCACTCGTACCGATACCTCCTCCATCTCTTCTCCTTCTGAATAGCTCCACCCTGTCGCACCCCGAGGCCAGTCGGGAGGGCGGGCCGGGCGTTTTAGCTGGAGGCTTCCTTACAAATTATGAGCGTTCTTAGCAACAGCTTCACTGATGGATGGATGGTAGCTTGAGGCTCTGGCCTGAGCGCCGCGCACATTTTTCAACAAATGCATGAAATTCACGGTTTGAGAGCGGATGTTTTTTTTTTGAAAATGTGGCTCCCACCTCAGCGCCGCGTACATTCGTTTGAAAAACTGCGAGAACTTCACGGATTGAGGACGGGCCCTTTTCAAAATGTGGCTCTCGCCTTAACGCCGCACACTGTCGCTCCAAGAAATTGAAAGAGCTTCACAGATAGAGAGTGGATCCTTCTCAAAATGTAGCTCTGGCCTTAGCGCCGCGCACATTAGCACATTCGCTTTAAACATTGCAAGAGTTTCAATGGTTCCCATGGTTAACGCACGAGAAGCGGTACTTGGAAACGATTCAGGATGTTAGGGCGCAACAGTTCATTGAGTCGCGGTGGCGAAGTCCCAGAGATGGTGCTCGGGCACGATTCAGGATCGCCACGACGCAACAGTCAAGTTGGCGTTGAAATCCCGAGAATGGTGCTTTGGCACGCTGCAGGATCTTCAAACGGTTGTCCCCCAACGGGGCACTTCCTTCAGTGGTAATGGATCCGTGTAGGGGCCTATGAAGAGGAAGCTTGGAGCGCGGGCTTATGACAACATCGTTGATGAGTTTTGGGTTTACACTGGTCCTCCTCCTCCTCGTCCTTACCCAGCTCCTGCTTCTCCTACCGCTGGCCCTCCTCCTCCCTGCCCAAGTGGCTTGGCTTCCACGGAGACGACGCCGGAGAAAGGCTCCCAGACAACACTCGTTCGACGCCGCCGTCGCCAAAGGACCGACGCCAGGACCCCTTAAGACTCGGCGACTCCGAAGGGTGTGGTTTGCAAAGGGTGTGGTTTGCAACCGGCACCCTGGGAGGCGGGCGAGGACCTCGACGGAGCTCCCCACCACGCCCCGAGGAGGCCCGACGAGGACGGCGTCGTTCTCCCCAGGCCCCAACGGTGCCGATCGCAAACCACACCCCGGCGTGCTCTAAGACGACGGCGCTGCTCTCTGGTGCCACCTGCCAGGATTCCGCCGCCTCCGCTGACGGAGCCGCCGACGCTCTGCCTGCTGCGATGGCTCACTGTGGGCCCTCGGCCGGCTCCCAACGACGCCGAGGCGGGCCAACCCTGCGACTCCGCCCGCCCCCTCCTCCTCCTCGTCCTCCTCCTTCTTCTCATTATTGTTATATGTTTCTGATTCGAATTCTTTTATTGTGATAATTAGTGTGCTTCTTCTTAGTATGATTATTCTTAAGATTATTAATAGTACTACGATTCGTCTTCTTATTGATAGTATCAATAGTATCATTATTATTGGTAGTAGTACTATTATCGTTCGTGTTATTATGAGTATTCGTGTTATGAGTACTGTCATTCGTAGTCTTATTATTATTAAGATGTTGATTATCAGTATTCGTATTCTTCTTATTAGTAATGATAATGTGATAGTAGTTATATTATTATGTTGATTCCTCCTCCTCCTCCTCCGCCTCCTCCTCCTCCTCCTCATCATCATCATCATCATCATCATCATCATCATCATCATCATCATCATCATCATCATCATCCTCTTCCTGCTGCTCATCCTCCTCCTGCGCCTCCTCCTCCTCATCCAACAGACGCTCCTGCTATTGTTTCTCCACCTCTCCTTCTTCCTCCTCCTCCTGCACATCCTCTTCCTCCTCCTCCTCCTGCTCATCCTCTTCCTCCTCCTCCTCCTCCTCCGTCTCCTCCTCCTCCTCCTCCTCCTCCTCCTCCTCCTCCTCTCCTCCTCCTCCTCCTCCTCCTCCTCCTCCTCCTGCCCTCCTCCTCCTCCTCTCTCCTCTTCCTCCTCTTCCTCCTCCTCCTCCTCCTCCTCCTCCTCCTCCTCCTCCTCCTCCTCCTCCTCCTCCTCCCCCTTTCTTTCCTCACCAGCCCCTGGAGGCCGAGCGTGGCGAAGAGACTCGGTCGGTACGACTTTTCCCCGAGTCGCCGAAAGTCTGGGCCGACACGGCGAGGCACTCGCGCTGGAGCGCCCCGATCGCGGCGGAGCTCGTGCCGCGCTGCGTGCTCGGCGGCGGGCCTCCTTCGGACGGTGGCCGACCTGGCTCGTGGCGTATGAAACATGCACGGTGTCGTGGGGCCGGAGAGTGCTCCCAACGCAGGCAGAGCCGGCCAGGGCCATAATATACCGGAGGACGAGGAGGAGCAGGAAAATAAAGAATCCACTGGGGAGCACGAAGAGGAGGAGGAGGAGGAGGAGGAGGAGGAGGAAGAGGAGCAGGAGCAGGAGAAGGAGGAGGAGGAGGAGGAGAAGAAGGAAGAGGAGAAGGAGAAGGAGGAGGAGACGGGAGGAGGAGGCGGAGGAGGAGGCGGAGCAGGCGGAGGAGGAGGGGCCGCACTTCCTCGGGGGGGGGAGAAAGGTCACAGCACGTCCTGTGAGGAGCATCTGGGCGGGACCTGAGAGCCGCGAGAAAGCAAGCACACGGGCCTGATTGAGCGTCTGCTGCTAAATGCGCGCTTTTCATGACTCGCAACGTGTTGAAAGGCTACACGTGAATTCAAGGACGATCGTTTCATGACTCAACTCAGACGATGAGCCCGTGAGGTGCGAACGAGCTACGGACGAAAACACCCCACGCCCCTATAGGTGGGAGGAACAGCGGCAGCAGAAGGAGGAGAAGGGAGGAGAAAGGAGGTGGAGGAGGTGGAGGAGGTGGAGGAAAGCAGGAGCACCGCCAGGCCCGCTCCTCCCCCCTGGGTCCATCTGGCCCTCCCTCCCACCCACCCTCCCCGCTCCTGCTGGAGAGGGAGCCGAGAAGCGCAAGAGTATAGCCCCTGCGCCCGCCCCTCCCGGCCGACGCGTCTCTTGTCGAGGCCCTTGGCGGCCTCTATTCTCTGCGCGGCCGCGTCGGCGCCTCGGGCGGCGAGGGGGGGGGGGGGAGAGCGGGGGAGCGAGGGACAGGACAGGACGGGGACGGGAGGGAGGGACGGGGGCGGAAGGGGAGTTCATCAATCTTCTCTTCCCTCCTCCCTCTTCACTCCTCGCGCATCTGGCCTCACATCTCCTCCTCACCCACCTCCTCCTCCCTCCCCTCCCCTCCCCTCCCCGTCCCTTCCCTACTTCCCATGGCGACCACCACTAAGCGTGGCTCAATCGCAGCCGCTGGTTAGTCGATCCCACGACGGTTTACCAAATTAGGAGGCGCATCGCCGACGCACCAGAGGGTGTCATTGTCTTGACCGGCCTGACCGGATCGCATGTGTTGGACTGCATGCGGCAGATTCGAGGGCGTCGGTGTTCACGGCAACCATGTTTCCAACTCTACTCATACACTCTGAGGACCAGACGCCGTCAGGATCGCCGGGACGTAAACCAACAACTTGGCAGAACCAATTGTCTACGGCGGGAGGCCATTTTGCGACCCTAGCGGACGTGCCAATTGACGCCGTGCGTGCACTCGCACGCGAACAGATGTGTTACGATTGGTCAGGTGATACGGGCGTCTCAAGCGCTGTTGCGTTACTGAGTGCGCGAGAAACGCGCCGATGAGGCTCTCCTTCAGCCATGGGAACCGTCAAGCTCACAACAGCTTGTACAAAGCCTCCGAGTTATTCCAGCACCACCCGCCACGTTCACGAACTTGCCAACCGATGGGGGGGACGTTTAAAGATACCCAGAGGCCAGGTGACGACCTGAGACGTTTGGTTCGAGATCACATCAGAGGGAAGATCAGACGGTACTCCAACAATGCTGGTCAGGACTAGGTTAATTCATGCGATATGCGTGAACTGCGCAACCCAATGTAATCATATCTGTCTGGGACAGCTTCGCGTCAACCAAAACAAAAAAAACATCCTACCTACCAAGATTGGTAAACGGTCGCACCTTCGATCTCCCCCGGAAATACCAATAATGACAACAGCCGGTGCACATGTGTCAGACCTCCGCCGCCCCATCGCTCTGGAACGCAATATTAACGATACTCGGGTTCGGTTTCGTGCCGCATCTGAAACTCAAGAGTTCTGAGTGAAGTCGGCCAGGCCCTCTGCCGCCTTGGTACGTATGCGTCCTTGGCATCCACCACTGCGCAAGGTCGTCGGGTTGTTGGGGACACCGCCAGCCAGCCCTTTCCATACAGCACACAGAGCATGTCGGCCATGGAATCGAAAACTGCCTTGTCCGAATCCGCATTCAGCGCAGCATGTCCACAGACCACGTGTGAGAGCACCTTGGAACCGCACAGAAACAGGAAGCATCTATCACATCAGTCCAAGAGAAGCAGGGCAGCTGGCGAATCCAGAAATTGTGCGAGAGCCGGTTCATTGCCTGAGAATGCAACTTGCTGTTTCGACTAGCGGTCTTCGGAAACCGTCTGAACGCGCCAGGATACCAAACGAGAGGCGATCATCACCGAGCACAGCCTTCGCGAAAGCTGTCAACGTCATGTTCCAAGTCTGCTTGCCCATGTTGCCTCTGACATCGCTCCAGCACGGGCCATGCACGCTGTCCATGGTAAATTCGGAAAACGTCCTGTGGCCCCAAGACCGCTGCGTCCACCCCAAATATGCTGCGCGCCCTCGGGCGCGAACTGGAAGAACTCCCAAGGCACCCTTGGTCGGAAAAGGCGTGCCACTGTAAGCGGCTCTCCCCAAGCCGATGCACATGTCAAATTCTCTCCATGCTGCTTTGTAATGTGCGTGGAAGCTCGGATACGGGATGTCCCACGCCCTGGCACCAGAACAAAAGTTTTACCTGATCTGAGTGTCCATGCACGAAGTGTTTCAACCGACCTCCTCTGAAAACCCAGCAAAGCCATTTCAATTCCCAGGTCCTGCAAGAGATGCTTCGTAGCGCACCGACGTTGACAACGTTGACAGCCAAAGACGGCAGAGCACTGCGGGTCTCGTTCCCGCGCCCAGATCACTGCCCGACCACAGGATACATGCTTGTGTGCCCAGTACATACTGCTGCTGAAATGAAGCCTAGATCATCCAGCACCTCGCTCAAACCCTTCATGCTGTAGACTCTCGCTAAGAAGGAATGATCTGACCCCCGGGCGGCTGGCAGGCAGAGCAGTACTCTCCTGGTCGACTGTCCTGGACGACGAGAAAATGAAAAGAAGAAGGTAGTCATGATCCTCCCTATTCCTATTCGATGACATTCTTGTCTTCCCCGCTCCCTCAACCTCCTCTTCTTCCCTTCTCCGCCCCCTTCCCTCCCGCTCCTCCTCCTCCTCCTCCTCCTCCTCCTCCTTCCTCCTCCTCCTCCTCCTCCTCCTCCTCCCCTCCCCCTCCTCCTCCAACCTCCTCCTCCTCCTCCTCCTCCTCCTCCTCCTCCTCCCTCCTCCTCCTCCTCTCCTCCTCCTCCTCCTCCTCCTCCTCCTCCTCCTCCTCCTCCTCCGCCTCCTCCTCCTCCTCCTCCTCCTCCACCTCCGCCTCCGCCTCCGCCTCCGCCTCCGCCTCCGCCTCCGCCTGCTCCTCCTCCTCCTCCTCCTCCTCCTCCTCCTCCTCCTCCTCCTCTGGGGCAGAACGCGCGTGGAGGGGAAGGGAGGGGAACGGGAGGGGGGAAGGAGACGCAGGAGTAGGAGTGGAGGAGAACGAGGGATGGAACCTCCTCAGTGTCCCACATATCCTCCTGAAGTCCTCCCTTGCTGGGAACTTCACCAACTAGTTCACCTGTTTCTCTCCCGGAAATGTCTCTCTCAGGATGCGTGCGTGGGTGCTCCCACTATGAAATCCGCTCGGCTCCTTACGATACACCTGCCAGCGATAGGGATGCGGTCGATGCTTCACCTAACCAAGGCAGGTGCGCTCACTGCTGGGGGTGCCACACAGTGTTCTGAAGGGCAGAACCGTCTCGGGAGATTGGTGCACTGCTCCAGCCAAGCGTTACCCTCCCAGAGTGTGTCGACTAACTGCCAAAACTGTCTCGCAAGATGGCTCGTCCCGTTGCCTAGGATGTGGGTTTCCCTTCGCTCGGGCACTCCGTCCGAGACTTCCTAGTTTGGGGGCGCGTCCGACAGACACCTTTGTCCCGCAGAGTTGGGCATGAGTTGCTGGACGGGCGATGGCCGAGAGTTCTGGTCAGGGGTCTGGACGTGGCCTGGCTGTCCAGGACTGATTGCTTGACTTCTGGCCCAGGACTCGTCCTGCCCTCTCCTTTCAGGCATGGTGTCCATAGGTTACGGTCTGACTGGTGCGTCTGTCTGACTCTGTCTCTCTCTCTCTCTCTTTCTCTCTATATGTATATATAAACACACAGATATAGGTGAGTATATATATAGGCTGAATGTATAAGTTGGAAGAGATGTACACATATATATATATATATATATAAAGATACATCACAAATGTGTGGTCCAGGGCCCCGCCAGCCCCCCCCCCCAAACGCTAATGGGATCGCCCCCCCACCCCCGATGTCCCCCCCCCTGCGGGTGTGGTGTGGTGCTGTGGTGCCGTCCCCCCACCCCCCTCCCTGTGCCCCCCTATGGGTGTGGTGTGGTCTTGTGGTGCTTCAGGAATCGGGAGGGACTCAACCTACCAGCACACGTGGTCTTGGCCGCCAGGAGGGGTTCAGAGGTCGTCGTCGTCCGCGTCCTCGTCGTCTTCCACGTCGACGTCGTCGTGATCGTCGTCGTCATTGTCATGACTGTCCTCCTCCTCCTCCTCCTCCTCCTCCTCCTCATCATCATCATCATCATCATCATCATCATCATCATCATCACCATTATCATAACCATCGTCATCATCATCAGCATCATCATCATCATCATCATCAACATCATCATCACCATCATCATTAGAGGCAGCAGCAGCATCATCCTCCGCATCATCATAAGTAGAAGCAGCAGCATCATCATCCTCATCCTCATCATCATCATCATCATCATCAGCATCATCATCGTCAGCATCATCATCAGCATCATCATCATCATCATTAGAAGCAGCAGCAGCACCATCATCATCAGCAGCAGCATCAGCAGCAACAGCATCATTAGCATCATCAGTATTATCCGCATCAACATCACCCTCATCAAAAACCGCAATCGTCAGCATCATTATCAGCAGCACCATCACCACCACAGCCACCACAACTACAACCCACACCGCCATCATCATCGTCACCACCACCATCAGTTTCATCATGTTCAGCAACATCATCAGCATCGTCATCATCACCATCATCAACAACATCGTCCTCGTCGTCAGCAGCATCATCAGCATCATCATCAGTAGCATCATCATCATCATCATCGTCGTCGTCATCATCACCAGCATCATTAGCATCATCGTCATAATGAGCAACATCATCACCATCCTCATCATCATCATCAACAACAACATCATCATCATCATCAGCATCATCATCATCATCATCGTCATCATCATACTCATCCGCAGCAACATCGGCATCATCATCATTAGCGTCATCATCACCTTCAGCAGCATCAGTATCATCAGCAACAGCAGCATCCTCATCGTCAGCAGCAGCAGCATCCTCATCATCGTCATTAGCGTCGTCATGATCAGCATCAGCAGAGTCAGCATTATTAGCATCAGCATCATGATCAGCATCAGCATCATCAGCATCGTCATCGGCAGCATCATCATCAGCAGCATCATCACCAGCATCACCATCATCACCAGCAGTATCCTCATCATCAGCAGCAGCCTCATCATCATCAGCAGCATCATCAGCATCATCATCGTCATCAGCAGCATCAGCAACAGCATCATCAGCAGCATCATCAGCAGCATCATCGGCAGCAGCATCATCATCGTCATCAGCATTGTCGTCAGCAGCAGCAGCATTATCATCAGCATCATCGTCAGCATCAGCAACATCATCAGCATCATCATCATCATCACCACCACCACCACCATCATCATCATCATCATCATCATCAGCAGCAGC